TAGGGATCTTAGATTGTACGCTCCGTGAGGGTTAGGAACTGATGTGAATGTACAATATATATGTAAAGTGCTAAGTAAATATGGGGAAGCACAGTGGCTAAATGGTTAGCACTTCCATCTGGCAGCACTAGAGTCATCAGTTCAAGTCTCAACCGTGGCACCACCTGCCTGGAGTTTGCATGCTCTCCCTGTGCCTGCATGGGTTTCCTCCAGTTTACTTCAACACTCCAAAGACTTGCTGGTAGATTAATTGGCTCTTGGCTAAAATTGGCCCTTGTATGTGTGAATGTGAGTTAGGGACCTTAGATTGTACGCCCCTGGAGGGTTAGGAACTGATGTGAATGTACAATATACATGTAAAGTGCTGCGTAAATTGATGGCGCTATATAAGTACCTGTAATAAATAAATAATAATAATGCACCACTTCGCCTAGAAAATTGTTGCAATTACAAATGTTTAGACATTTTCATATTTATTCTTTTGTTTTTATTAGTATGACAAAAAAAAGTGGAGACACAAAAAGCAAGATCTGACACATTCCATGCAAAACCCCAAAAATGGACTGGACAAAATGATTGGCACCCTCAATTTAAAGGAGAAGTACAGCCAAAACTATTTTGGCTGTACTTCTGTGGATCACAGGAGTGCAGTTCGCTGAGCACTCCTGTGACCCATTTTCGGCTGACAGCATACTGAAGTCCATCACTTAGCCAGTTCAGGCTGGGGAAAGATCCTAACTTTAAAGTCGGGATCCACCCCAGAGTCTGGAGCTGCACCCAGCTCAGCCTCTCAACGAGCCACTTGGAGCGTGAGCCAGCCGCTCCCTCCCCCTCCTGACTGACAGTCCCTCTCTCTGCTCAGAGCGGAGAGGACAACTCAGTTATCAGTGGTTATGTGATTGCTGGGCCTGTGGGGGACAGATGCAGCATCAGACTGATCCTTCAACTACCTAGGTAAGTATATCTGGGGGAAAAAAAAATCCAAACTTCTCTTTTAATATTTGGTAGCACACCCTTTGGAAAAAATAACTATAATCAAATGTAACCATCAATGAGTTTCTTGCACTTCTCTACTGGAATTGGGGATCACTCTTTTTTCGCCAACTGCTCCAGGTCTCTCAGTTTGGAAGGGTTCCTTTTCCCGACTGCTGTTTTGGGATCTCTCCACAGGTGTTCTATGTGATTGAGATCTAGACTCATTGCTGGCCAGTTCAGTACTCTCCAGAGCTTTGTCTTATACCATTTTTGGGGGCTTTTTGATGTATTCTTTGGGTCATTGTCCTGCTGTAAGACCCGTGACTTCTGACGGAGCCCTACCTTCTGACACTGGGTCCTACATTGCACCCCAGAATTGTTTGGTAGTCTTCAGATTGCATAATGCCATGTACACAGTCCAGAAATCCAGTGCCTGAAGCAGCAAAGCAACCCCAAAACATTAGTGAACCTCCACCATGATTTACTGTAGGGACTGTATTCTTTTCTTTAAAGGCCTCATTGCTTTTCCTGAAAACAGTAGAATGATGGGCTTTACCCAAAAAAAGTATTTAGCACATTCTCCCAAAAGGATTTTGGCTTCCTCATGTGAGTTTTGACAAAGTCCAATCTGGCTTTTTTATGTTTCTGGGGCAGCAGTGGGATCCTTCTGGGTCTCCTACCATAGCGTCCCTTTTCATTCATATTGTGGCGTACAGTACAAGCTGATGCAGTTGTACCCTGTGCCTGCAGGTCAGCATGAATTTGTCTGGAAGTTGATCAGGGTTCTTTATCCACCATTTGAACAATCCTTCGTGGCAATCTTTGATCAAGTTTTTCTCATTCGTCCATGTTCCAGGGAGATTAGCTACAGTGCCATGGGCTATAAACTTCTTGACAATGTTGTGCACAGTGGACACAGGCACATTAAGATCTGTTTACTGATGCAGGTGAGTTTAATTACAAATTACTGGAGCATCACAAATGTGGAATGCAATTATTTCTTACAATTTTGAGAAGGTGCCAATAATTTTGCCCAGTCCATTTTTGAGGTTTTGCATGGGATATGCCAGATTTGGCTTTTTGTTTCTCCAATTTTTTGTGTCATACCAATACAAACAAAAGAAATAAACATGAGAATGACTAAAAATTTGTAATTGCAACAATTTTCTGGGCAAAGTGGTGCATTATGTGACAGAAATGCAGGGGTGCCAATATGTTTGGCCATGCCTGTAAATGGAGCTGTAATTCAGACATGGAGCTGTAATTCATACCACACTGATGGTCAGAATATGCACCAGAATGTATACCTATGCATGCCAGTGTCTGTTGGTGAATTTACTAATCCTATGCCTGAATGGCAGCTCCTTTTAAACATTTGTACAGAAAAGATTTATAATTTATAGAGCACGTGGCAGCTTTCTCATCTGAACAGGTTTACAAGGTGCCAGAGAAGATGGACAGGTGTTTTGCAGGAAGAGACAGGGACAGGGGCGGACTGACCATTTGGGAACTTGGGCACTGCCCTAGGGCCCGGGGTCAGAAGGGGGCCCCATGAGATGCCGCTGGTACCTTGCATAGGCTTTTTTGGGTGTGGTTTGAGTGTGGGCAAGGACACAGGGGCCCCATGATCCCCTATTGCCCGGGGGCCCCATGATTTGTCAGTCCGCCCCTGGACAGGGATATGACTGACCATTGTTGAGCGAGTTACCCCAAACAACAGACAGGTGCTTTTACTCCTTTTGCACAACACAGCACATTACCCAGCACTCACATACTGGGGTAGATTTACTAAAACTGGTACACTCAGAATATGATGCAGCTGTGCATGGGAGCCAATCAGCTTCTAACTTCAGCTTGTTCAATTAAACTTTGGCAATAAAACATGGAAGCTGATTGGTTTCTATGCAGAGTTGCACCAGATATGTTCTTTCCTGTTTTAGTAAATAAACCCCACTGTATTCAATAAGCCAGGATGACCTCTCTACTCCGCTTCTTCTTTAAATACATCTACATCATGCAGTCCTAGCTTAAGGCATCAGATCCTTAAAGTGGTTGTAAGCCTCAGATATTAAATATGAACAATAGTGTTATTTCTGTCTAATGACCTTTTCCTCTGCTGTCTGTATGAATCATTTCTGACAGGTCTTTCTGACGCTAAGTGCTAAAAAGTGGACAAGGGCTGGAGATCAAGCACACAGCCTCTGATTGACAGCCTTAGCTCTGTTCCTGTATGCCATGTGAAAGAAGAGGGGGGGTCCCTTCCCTCCAATCAGCTGTCACTGAGATCTGCAGAATGTAACTTCATTTTTCCACCCCCTGCTTTATGAAAGCTGAGACAGGTTGTGTAAATTCTTCAATTTGAATTGCTGTAGAGAAGAGAGGGCTAGAGAAAAACAGGTACAACTTATGTATTAAGATATGCTTCTATGTGGCTAGCTTCACCTGAGGCTAGTCACTTCATTGGTTATATACAAGAGTTTACAACCACTTTAACAGTAGTGAATACATAAAGGGTAGAATGAAAAACTACTTTTGTGAAGCCATCATGACCATAGCCTAAAAAGAGTGTCAACTTCTTAATTGGATGCATAGTGATATCTTTCAATTTTGGAATAAGAAGTTGCAGGGCAACCATGTCTGGACTGTATGATGGATGTGGCATGGTTGAAAGATTCAGCTTCTTAATTGCTTCTGTATGCATTGCATGCAAAGTCTGAGGTCAAGCATTTTCATGTTGCAGGACAATCCTGCTTAAATTAAAACTAAAGGGAAAACTTTTTTGTTTAGAGTGGTGAGAGGTTAGAACCACTATCAATGTTTATTGTTATCTGTGTCCCTGTTAGGAAGATCACTTTCCTTAACTGGTCTAATGACCAATGTCAGCCGGAAGGAAAATGAGGGTATATTAAAAATTGTTCCCATCTTATGCCCATGTCCCAGAAGAGATATAAAAAGTCCTTGCTAATTCACTCACTAAACTCTGCCAAGGCTTGCATCTCAGGTAACTGAAAAAAAAAAAGACCCCTCTGACACTCCGGCAGTGGTTTGAAAGGGTGAATGATATTCAGACTAGGGAAGACCTCACCACTGCTATTAGAGATAAATCTGTAGACAAGACTTAGGCTGGCTATAAACTATACAGTTTTCTTACAAATTTCTGTCCAATTTCCTTTAGATTTACCTTCAGCTATGTAGTGCCTAATAGGATACAATTGAAAGTGTTGTTTTGGTTTGACCTCATATTGTTTGGTTTTTGGTATATCTAATCAAAATTCTCAAGAAAAATTGTATAATAATGTATGGCTCAAATTGCACCCCACAGAAATCGCATTTGATTTGCATAGGAATGCAGTGTGGTTCCTGTGCGAATCACATGCAATGTGCCGCACCATATCAGTGTGAACCAGGGTTGAATGTGGATTTTATCCCTTATAAAACTATTGTATACCATCTCATATACACTTGCAAAGTCTATGACTGGTATATTTATTAATGGCTGTCTTTTGCTGTATTGGTACATTTTTCTAAAGGCCTCATGCACACTGGACATTTTACTATCTGTCCTAGACATCTTTCCTCTTGACATTAGTGTTTTGGCACAAACAAAAACGCTTTATGCCTGTAAACATATGTAACACCTTTAGACATGTCAATCACTTGGGTGGTAATTCATTCCATTGGCCAGAATAATAATGTATTCTGGCCATTAAAGTAAATTAATGTTTAGGTGCATTTAGATGCATTTACATGTGTATCGCTCTCTAGTGCTAGATAGGATTTTGTTGTTAGAAGCTGGGTAGCAGCCTGGGATGAGTCAGCCTGGGAGTGAGGTAGAGTGAGTTCACCTCAGGACAGGCTGGGAGTCTTTACAGGTCAGGGCTTCTGGAGCCTTCCCACTCTTCCAGAAACTGTGAGAACTTTCTGGAAGAGGGGCGGAGGACAGGAGGAAGCCCAGATTTGCATGTTTAGGGGAACTTGGCCAGTCCCCAGGCAGGAGGTCAGACATAGTGGCTAAGGTTAACCTATAGCCTCCCTGGTGGTATTCCCAAGTGTAGCTCGGGGTAAAGTTTCAGTACCACAAGCGGTAACCCCGAGCTACACTCGGAAATACCTTGCGGCGCTGCTCCAGGATCCCTCGATCAGTTACCTTGTCCTGCGCTCCCGCGATGTCCCTCCTGCAGTGTCCCCGGCAATGTAATCCGGCGGATGCCGGCATCTGTCATCTGGGTTCCGTTCCCTGCGATGTCAGGACGTACGGGGATGGAACGACGGGAAATTTGAAAATGGCAAAAAGAGACATTCACTAAAATCACATAGTAAAACATTACTGTACCAAACCATTTCACATACATTTTGTCCCTAGTGCTTTGTCCTGTGCCCTGCCTGCATTTTTACTGTTCTTATGGCCTAGAAAGTGAGAAACGTTCATGGCGTCCAAAAAGCCTCCCTTTAGGTCAAAAGTGGTTTTAGACCAGCTAGAGAACAGCGATAGTGAATCAGAACCACTTGCAGAATTGAGTGATGATTCGTGGGGAAAATCGTCATCAGACACTGAAAACGATTTTGCGACTTTGCTCAGTGATGTGCGGACTTGGCGCTATATTTCAAATTTCAGTGTTTTTGGTTTGATTATATTATTGAATTAAATTTATTATTATTATATTATTATTTTTTATGATTATTTTTTAAATTATAATTTATGATTTCGTGTTTCAAGTTTTATCCTACCCGGGATATTTACTAGACTCTTGTTCGGACAGATTTTAGTGAGTTATTCCTAAGAATTACAGGCCTACAATATAAAACGCCAAATTTCCATGCAAAATAATGGTACCGCTTTCAGCACCAAAAATCTGAAATAATCATACCGCCAGGGAGGTTAAATGTGCAGCAGTTGTTGCTGAAGTCAGGTGGAAGATGGAGGAGGAGACTGGGGTGTGGCGCCTGGGAGGAGGCCCCAGGAAGGGGAGTCTACCAACAGGCAGGATACTGGCAAGAAGGGTCTCCACTGTCCAAAGTCTCCTTGGGAGGACATTCTGTGCAGCAGGGAAGGAGCCAGCCCTGTGTAAGGCCTGAAAGCAGCTACCAAGCAATCAAGCTAACAGGACAGGACAGTATGAGTACTTCTATATGCCCTCTGCCAGAAAAAGGGAGGACGGTCAGGTGCAAGACCCAACCAGTTCTCATTTGGTAGTACTTAATTGTTAGCTCTTGGAATCCCTTGTCCAGGGATATCCTCAGTGCAGCTGGGTGAAAAGGAAGGATTCATCTGGGGTCTGAGGAGGTACATCAAGGGGACTCCAGTGCTCGTAGAAAAGACAGTGCTATTTTCTTGATCCACATTGTTGTACAGTATACAGTTGCTGAGATATTTGTCTTAAAGTTTGCAGTTCCTTGGGAAGTCCCATATACCCCTAGACCCCATCCAAGTTGTTAACCCCTCAATAAAAACAACTAAAACCAGTTCAAGGACTGTCTTTCTGACTCTGGGTGCAAGATGTGGAAAAATTCTTGTTGCCTGGCTGTACAGAGCTTAAAAGGGACCCAGATAAAATCCAGCGGCTCCTGCGGGGGTAGCGCTACTCATGCATTTAGGCACATTTACAGATGTCAAACATTTTTTATGCTAAAACACTGCTGCTCCTGGACACACTGGCAGTGGGTTTTGTTTTCTTTAATTCCCCTGCCTCTAAACTCCTCTAGATGCCTATGTGTGTTTGGACACAAAGGCTAACATGCAGGGGCATTTAGAGGCAGAAAAAAACTGCAAATACCCCTAGGAGCAGTGTTAAAAAATGTCCAGTATGTATGAGACCTAATAAAAAAAAAATTTTAAAAGAAGAGATTTAACATAAGTACTCACATAGACCACAGTAGAACTCTAAAATCATCTGCTGTAATCCTTACAGCTGTGGGTGCATGTGTCTCTGGTATCTATTCCTCTCCAAACAGGCCAACATAGTATAACCCTAACCTTCCGCTACTCTATCCACAATGAATAAAAGTTTTAGGTATACAGTGAAGTAGTATGAAACCCTCTGCATTTTTCTACTAAATACATTAAAATTAAGCATTGCAGTATGCTCCAGTACCCAGAACACTTGCATACTTTCCTAGCTTCCCACTGCTGTCTCCAGATCCATAACATGGCTTCACCGATCTTCCAGGTACGGTAGTGTGCACCCATGTATAGTGACTAAAGCGGCCATTCATGGGTCAAATTCCGAAATAATTTTCTTTAGAAAATCTTTTCAAGGAATTTTCATTTGAATTTCGTACCATTTAGTGGGTCACAGAAATAGCTGATTTTCGAATGTTCATCAAATTTGAGTGATTGGGCATGTTGGAAATTTTTTGAAAAACGAACTAATTTCTAATCAATGATGGGAGAATTGTACGAGAAATGTAATCAAGAAAAAAATGAGCATGAGCTGTGACCTGGAAAGAAAAGAAAATACTTGGTCACAAAAATTATTTTCTGTAGCAACAGAAGGCGAAATTAAAGGCCTGGTTGGTCAAATTTCGAAATCAATGGTGGCACCATTGGATTACAAAATGCACAAAATTTCTGATTTTCTAAAGAAAATGTATTTGGAATTTGACCCATGTATGGCCTGCATAAGTCACTCGCTGATTTGGTGGATGTGGTTTGCTGTTGGGGCTAGCTTTCTGTGGATGTAAAGAGACTCCTATATTGCCAGCTGGCAGCAAACACACAAAGGTTGCTCCATGAGACTCTGTAAGGAGATGTAGCCACCCGAACATAAGAATCAGGGAATTTGAGAGAAGGAATTGAGAGCTGCCATGGGGTGCAAAGAAAAACAGACCTACAAACAAGATACATGCTGAGGTCTGCAGAACTATATCTTTTCTTCTTGTATTAAGCTTTATAAATACACCTTGTGGTATCCAAGAAAAGTTATAGTGACTGACATGATCTTGCAGAATGCCCATTTTTTTCAGAAAATTTTCACTTGTCACAGTGAAGTTCATCAGATGTTGTCACAGGTTGGCCACACCTTTGCTTGTCAAGCAATTCTGATATTCCCCCCTTGCTACCTTTGCAGTTTTCGGCTCAGTGGCGTGCTTCGCTCAAATCAATAGAGTTATTACCATCAACAGTTTACATAAATTGGGGAATTTCAATTGCAGTAACACTTTCTGCTGTTAGGAACTAAATCACAGCACTTTGCTTGAATTGCATGGACGAAGTCTAATGCAAAGTTACATTTCATAGAGAACAGAAAAATAACCATTTGCAGTAATGACCTGCCCCCAATGGAGGTGATAGAGGAAAACCTCCACCTACATGTGTTAGTACTTGTTGAATATCAGTCCTGCCATCTGTTGGTGAGATATGAAACTGGAGGTTTTACTTTTTATTCGACCCTTGTATAACCCACGTACTAAGGGCCAATTCAAACCACTTGTGTTATAGTATTGCAAGCTAAACACGTTATATCAATTAGTTCAGTGCCATTTTTTGTAAATGGAGCCTCAGGGCACCTTCAATGCACTGTATGAAACTGCAGCACAGTGGCTAAATGGTTAGCACTTCTGCCTGGCAGTATTAGGGCTCATGCACACTTGACTGTTTTTCCAACTCTTGCCAAATGCCCCTATAGCATTTGACAAGCATTGGTCTGGCATTTGCGGAGTGTTTTTAACGCTCCGCAAAGGCCGCATGCGCGGTTTAGCGGAGGTTGCTAGGCATTTGGCAAAAATGCCCCACATATGCCTATAATGAAGTTTGAATGGTGTTAACGGTCTGCAAACGCCCCACAATCGCGTCCCAACCGCACCGCAAATGCTGGCCGGGCGTTTGCGGAGCGGCATCATGGACTTGAATAGGAGGCTTCAACTTCTCCTGACTCGACCAGAGGCGTCCGTTTTGCCATGACGCAACGCTCCCGTGTGCAGAATTTTCCCAGGTGTTTGGAAATGGTAAAAACGCTTCCCAAACGCCTGTCTGCCGCTTGCTAACAAGGCTAGTGTGAACGTAGCCTTAGGGTTGTTGGTTCAAATCCCAACCAAAGCACCACCTCCTTGGAGTTTTGTACCTGCGTGGGTTTCTTCCTGGTACTCTAGTTTCCTTCCATACGCCAAAGACATGCTGGTAGGTTAGTTGGATCCTGTCTAAAGTGGCCCTAGTATGTGTATGTATGAATGTGAGTTAGGGACCTTAGATTGTATGCCACTTGAGGGTATCACTCTGTTTTCTCATCCTTTGTTGCATATCAGCCATGTTGATCTCCTAAAGCTTGTTTGCAGCTATTTCCCATCTACATGCATATTTCTAATAACTGTTGCATGTAATTTGTTAGGAAGGGTTTGCCGACTTTGACGTCAGTGAAACATGAGCGAAGTTCATTGATAGAGCTCCCTATAGTCTCCATGCATATGACAAGATAACAATGTGGGAGAGCGGGTCAGAGCGTTGTCACAGTATAACTGAAAGTGCCTGAACTAGGATCCACATTGCAGAATGACCCGGTATAACTTTAATAACAAGTCAAGGGTGCTATTCCCAGTGTTATTTATATGTATAAAAAAACACAGTGCATAATTACAAATACTGTGTCTAATCTCAGAAGTGTCCATTCAAAATAGATACTCCATGCAGTGATCTCATGAATATAACTCTCCTCTGCCGTGTGCCCAAAACCAGGGAAGATGTAAAAGAATCCAATATTCATCCACCACGTGCAGTAAGATAGGCAACTTACCAGATGCTCACGATTGTGAGCATATTATATATTCCCAAAGGTGATGTCATCAAATTGGAACACAGCCAGAAGTCAACACAGCCTCTTTGGTATAACTGTCCTGTAATACATTGGATGCCACCATAAATATACTCAAAAAAGAAAAAAATATTGCTCCCATAGTGTAATTAGTTTATTAAAATACCAGTACTGCTCGCTGTATACTAGTAGAAGTGAAGTGCATCAGTGTAGAATAAGGAGCATGCACAGGACAAAAAGAGGCTTGAAAGCAAATGAAAAGCAGGTATACTTGCTATTTTAAAACAACTGATGTAAAAAAAAAAAAATTAGATTATTGTCACTTTCAATAAAACCTGACTCAGCCTGGATGTAACATCTTACCAGTGGGGCCACAAAATTATGATGTAGACGTTTAGAAGAAGAAAATGAAAAGCTTTACATAATGACAGAGCTGAAATGGCACATCTTGAAATATTTAGATTCTCAACAGACAAAATGTTCAGAAAATGTTCTATTATGAAATATATGCAGTAAACTCAAATGTTACAACATTTACCAATTATTTTAAAATATGCACATTGTTTTACAGATTATGGAAAAATGAGCAACAGAAATATCCATACTAA